TTGCGTCTGCCGGGAATCGAACCCGGGTCGCATATTTACAAACCCTATCCTGATAGAACTGCGGCAGGAAATCGGACAATATGATTGGCTCGCTTCGCCGAAAGCCGATGACGTCGTTCTTTGCTCTCGTGCGTGTACTTTTCATTAGTATAATTTCTTACAATGTGGGATGTTTTATTTTTTATGATATTTTAAAAAATAATATAATTTTTAAAAATATTACAACCCACGTTTTCTGTGCTCAACTGTGGGAAAACGGAGAAGAAAAGTATAATGACTCTTGTTTTGTTATGATTGCCGTATGCTTCGTGCGAGAGCTGAAAACGACGTCACTGCTCCTCGTAGCCAATAATATTGACTGATTTCCTGCCTCAGTTCTATCAGGGTAGGGTTTGTAAATATGCATCCGGGTCAACTGTTTGGGAAACATCTACTCTGGCCGTTGAACTACCGACGCGCGAAAGAACTTCAGAATTGATAGTAAAAATCTCATATTCCGCTTCTTTTCTTTAATATTCAATCGGGAGAAGGAGCAATTAAAATTTTCACTTCTTATCTTGTAGACCATTTTGTTGAAATAAAAGTTATACAATTGCGTCGGCAGGGAGTCGAACGCGGGTCAACTGTTTGGGAAACAGCTATTCTGACCGTTGAACTACCGGCGCGCGTAGGAAAATCCGAATTGATAGTAAAAATCTCATATTACTCTCATTTTGTTTTATATTTTATCGCGAGATGGAGCAATTAAAATTTTCGCTTCCTATCTTGCTCTCCATTGGGTTGAAATAAAATTCATGCAATTGCGTCGGACGGGAGTCCAACACGGGTCAACTGTATGGAAAACAACCATTCTGACCGTTGAACTACCGTCGAGCGAAAGAGCTTCAGAATTGATAGTAAAAATCTCACATATTTCTCTTCTTTTGTTTTATAATTTAACGCGAGAGAGAGAGCAATTAAAATTTTCGCTTCTTATCTTGTAGACAATTTTGTCGAAATAAAAATTATGCTATTGCGTCGGCAGGGAGTCGAACCCGGGTCAGATGTTTGTTAAACAGCTAATCTGACCGTTGAACTACCGACGAGCGAAAGGACTTACGAATTGATAGTAAAAATCTCATATATATTACTCTTATTTAGTTTTATCTTTTATCACGAGAAGGAGCGATTAAAATTTTCGCTTCTAGTCTTGCTGACCATTGGGTTGAAATAAAAGTTATTCAATTGCGTCGGCCGGGAGTCGAAGTCGGGTCAACTTTTTCGGAAACAGCTAATCTCACCGTTGAACTACCGACGCACGAAAGGATTTCAGAATTTATTGTAAAAATCTCATATTTCGCTTGTTTTTATTAATATTTAATCGCGAGAAGGAGCAATTAAAATTTTAGCTTA